AGGTATAGTGAACTTGCATCGAAACAGTAATATATAAAATTGTTTGTATTATTGTTCCTTTGCCAAAGATAAGTTTGAATTATGAAACAGCTACAAAGTTCATATATTCTAAGATAAATTCTTTTCCTACATATTGAAGATTTTTATTAGTGATTTGTATTATATCAACTTATTTCCAAAGCAGAATATATAAAGGTTATGAGAATGTGACTTAATTGTAATTTTAATGATTATATTAAACTTCCAAAAAGAAGTGGTAGAAAATTCTGGGAACATTATGATTATAGTTATGAAAAATTGACATGGTGAAAGAATAAGGAAACAGTACAAAAATGATAGTAACAGTGCATTTTCTGTTAACCTTTTTGTGGGAGGCAAGGTAAAACAAAGAAGAGGTTTTGGATTTTCATTGACTGATACATTAGTCAGTCAACATTTACTTTGTTCTTGCCACTAAATTTTAGTAGTAAACTTATCAGTTAAGTGGGTTCTGGCTTTAAACTGTATAGCTGAAGTTACTGTGTGTCTCAGATTACATGGTGGAAGTTAGCATATTATACCCGATCAGTATCTTCAAGTACAGATTTAAAGAAAAGAACAACAATGCTTGACTTTTGAAACAACTTAGTAACTGTGACAGTATGGCTCAATGAAGCTATAACAGATTGAAGGCCTGTCTGATGTTCTGAGAGTTCCTGTAGCTTGGGTAGGTGTTTCTTTGTACCTGAGCTTCTGGAAACAGAGTAGAAGCCAGAGAGTGACCATTGACCTGCCTCTGGGTCCCCTCTCAGCTGCCTCCTGGGCCCGTTAGGACTGGCAAGGACTCCTCAGTCTTTCTGAGGAAGCTGTAGATTTCTTTTGCACTGAACAATTGATCTGTATGTGAGCAGTTTTGGGTTCTTAAAAAGGGAACTTGTGTTCCTGCTACTCAGTTTTTCAGTTTCAGAACTGTTGGATTCTACAACATTTCCGTTAGGGGTGAAGTTAAAAAGAAGCATTAATGCTCCTCAGATTATGCTTCTTATGTAGTAGGAACAAAGATTTAGCTCCTGAAGATTGCTGGTATGAGGCAGGCTCCTTTTGAGTACAGTATAAAAGGAGTTTTATTGGTGATCTTCACATGCATAAAAGATTAACTCAGTACTTAAGATAATGTGCTTAAACCTCTCTTCTTGAGTTCTTTATTATAATTATAAACCCGTAGAGCTAAAATCCATACTATTTTTTCCTTTTGCCTGATCCTAATATAATTTAACCTGAGGAAATGATTCTCACCCTATAATTTAATCTAAGCAAAACCAAACAAAACAAAGATAACAGTATCTGATTTCTGCACCTTTCCAGGCTGTCCTGGGGAAGGGAACAACCTACTTCACAGGGCACTAGGACGATGCCGGGGGATCATGTGTGGGCATCCTACAGTAAATGCTCCATGAGCGCTTGTGACGAAGTGGGAGTGGAGGTGGCTGCTCTGTGTGCTCCGTCTCTGATACATGTTAAGCATTGCTGTGACTGTGTCATGGGGATTCAGAGGCAGGTGTATCCTGCATCTTGGGGGTGTTTCCTCTGACAGCAGGCAGTCATTCAGGTCCAAGGGAGCACACTGTTATATTTTATGAACTCAGATCAAAGGAATCAGTTTCCTTCCATGCTTTGACCAAATAGGTCCTTTTCTTTCCTGCTTACTTGGTTGCTGTGCTTGTATTTGTTGGAAAGGTGGTGCGACAGAGGAAAGATCTTCCATCCACTGACTTACTCCCCAAATGCCCCCCACCAGACTAAGGAACCTGGAACTCCATCTGAGTCTCCCACATGAGTGGCAGTGGCACAGTGACTTGGACCATCGTCTGCTGCTTTTTAAGGCACATTATTAGGGAGCTCAATCAAAAACAAAGCAGCTGGGAATCGAACTGCCTCTCTGATAGGGGATGGCAGACAGTGGCTTAACTTGATGCACTATCATGTCAGCTCTGTTGCTTTTCTAAAGTGCAGTTCTTTTTCCATTTGAGTGTCAGTTGGCTTGCCTCCGGCACTTTAACAACCCACACATCACAACAAATATGACCATCTCAAGAAATCCTGGGAAGATTTCATTCTGCTCTGTATATGTGACTGGGCTTTTATCTTGAGTGACCTTTGGCATTTTGTGACCCTACAGTGTGGCAAGTCAGGCTGGGAAAGTTCTGAAGGGGGCCCTCAGCCTGGATGTTCTCAGCCGGACCAGTTGTGTCTGTCTGTGTTCCTTGCCTTTCCCCCAAATGCCATATTTTATAAGGATGCTGTGTCAGAGAAAGCGAGAACGGGATTTGTCCACATGCCAGGCACTCAGGTAATGAAGTTGGATGCTTCTACTATCTGCCTGCAAATGTGGGTAAAAGAGTATAGGAGAGGCTATTGTCCAAGAGAACAAACCAGGAGATGAGCAGAGAGGCAGCCATGGTTGGGTCTATCTCTAAATTCCTGTGTTAGAACAATTTGCCTTCAAGGTGTTGAAATATCTTCCTGCTGTGACCCTATTTTACCCTGTTTGTAAAGAAATCAGCGATTTTCCCAGCTCTTAAGAATTCACTTTTGTCCCCTATTGATAGATGAATAGGTACCCCAAGTCTCTCAAGGCCTCTGTGTGTGACCATCTCACAGGACCCTTTGTGTCACTTAGCAGTTCACAGTGTGAGCTCCTGAAGGCTTTGCCATGTGATCTTGCCAGTTGTCTTGGAAACTCAGATGCTAGAACAGGGTCCTTGATGTTGTTCTTTGATGGCAAGAACCAAGGCATAGTAATTGAAGGCAGCATGGTATCTTTGAGTTCCCTTCTATAGTGTTTTCCAAGAAACTACACTACACAGAGGAGCATTCAGAATCGGAATGCTTGAAATCCCTCTTGAAGTGCATATGTCTTATTTCAGCCATAATGACTTAGGCATGTGTAGAAGAAATTAATGTAAGATCTGGAAGTTTTGTGATAGAATCAACCCTCTAGCCACTCACTCCAAAACACAAAGCCTGGTAGCCACAGGTACTCCTTAGCTATAGGCCCTCCCAGAGAGCAGCATTAACAGTTATCATAAACTTGGTGTTTTTCTCGTCTGATGGAATGTATGGGACGGCTTTTCTGTTAGTCTTTGCATAAATTAGACATAGCTATTTACATAATGAGGATTCCATTGCCTAATTATGACAGACTAGTTTCTGGTAACATGAGAATATTAAACACTTTAATGTGACATCCCAAAGTAATGAGCCAGTCATCAGGTCTCTCTAGGAAGGTTAAAAAAAGACCAGAAAGTGGTTTTCATGACCTGAGAAGTTTCAGTGTCAGCTTCCCAGCACTGGTGGGCACTGCTCACTTTCTTCAGCCGCCGAGGGGCCCGGGGCTGGTACATCACAGGTACCCGGGATTCACAGGGCTTCCCAGATGCTTTCCTGTTGTTTCTTTACTACCTGTGTGACATTTCCTCCTTTCTCGCTGTGGGGGATTTTTGCGTCACATCTAGGTGCTCTGAGCTTGACTGTGATGGCAGAGCAGAGTATGTGTCAGGTAGAATGTGCGGTTTTTTTGTCTCCCCTTACTCAGGCCTCTGCAGAAAGGATAAGTAGTGATTTTTATTAGACACTGATAACACCCCAAGATTGTTTTCCTAGTGGTGTTAAAATAAGAAACAGTAGGCACTGGCATTGTGGCATAGTGGGTTAAGATGCCACCTGCAATGCCAGCATCCTGTGTAGGTGCCAATTCATGTCCTAGCTGTTTCACTTCTTATGCAGCTCCCCACTGCACTGCTGGGGGAAATAGCAGAAGATGGCCTGAGAGGTCAGGCCCTGGCACCCACATAGGGGACCTGGGTGAAACTCCTGGCTTCTGTCTGGCCCAGCCCTGGCCATTGCAGCCATTTGTGGAAATGAACTAATAGGTGCATGGAATGTATTTGGTGTGTCCGTCGTTCTTTCTTCGTTACTGTGCTTTTCAAATAAATGAATGAATTTTCAAAAGAAGAAGAATGGTTAGTTGATAAGGCAGGAAGGGAAGGTGCTGACTCAAGGTACCTGGTGCTCATCCACTGTGCCCAGTGCTTCTTCAGTCCTTGCAGGAGCGTTGCGGCCCCCGGGCCAGCATGGCTGCCCATGAGGTGAGGGAGTGGAAATGGAAACTCAGGTCTCTGAAATACTTTTTTTTTTTTTTTTTTGCTTTTCGTAAGAGGGGATATTTCGCTGATTTCTTTTAGAAAAATCTCTGAGTCCTTGTTAGTTCTAAAGCGAAAGTTTGGACAGTCCCTCACAGTCATGGGGGAAAGATTGTTCTCTGCCTTGGAATGAGCAGAGGTGCTGTATGTTACTTAGACTAAGCCGTGGTGCACGTTCGGGTTTTTCAGTGAAGGAGACTGCTCCAGGGCCCGTGTGCTCCTTTGCAGAGTGAGCACGTCACCGTTCTGCCTGTGTGGTGCTTCCGGAGGGTCCGTATGCCCGTCTGTGCAGACGCTCCACCCTGCCGGCACAGTGTGCATGCTCACAAGCCAGGGTTGTGATCCTGGATGTTATTCTCGGTGCTGCAGCAGAATAACATCTGCTTGCAAGTCCCTCCCAGGGGATTGATGAGTGTATTCTCTTGCATCTGGAAATTTACTTTTCATGTAGGGAGGTCACTTGGGATTGTTAATGCAGTTGATTTTTTGTAATTTCTAAGATTGCAGAAATAGCATGGTAATAAACAAGGCTTTTGTCTAAGTGGAGATACTTTCCCTGGGAAAGTCTGCTTGCGATGCCTTTTGAACACTTGTTTGTGCATACAGAATTGCTAGGTTGTAGGATACCTGCCATAGAGTACTTTTGAAATGTGAAAAATTTAGTTTGCTACTGCTGTTTTATTATCAGCTTTCAGGTGCTGAACTAAATCTATGACAGTGGTTTGTGTTTCAAGTTTGGCAGTGATTCTTTGTTACCTAAATGCTAACTGGACTTGTTTCATGCTTCTTACTTTTTCGTTTTGTTTTGTTTTGTCTTAGGGAATATCTGGGCAAGCAGCTTCAATCGGAGCAACCTCAGACTGCGGCTGCGCGGAGCTGAGTGCCACCCCCAGCCTTCCAGATCTTGGCCAAGCACCTGGAGTGGGGCCCTCACTGTTCGGAGTTGAGAAGAACTTTCATTTTGAGTAGGAATTTCCTGCATTGTGTAGCTTTTCTTTGTGCTATTGAAAAAAAAGTGTTTGGTCTTTAAGTTGTGTAAAAGTAGTTGCTTTCTGTATCTAAAGAAAATCTTACTGTTATATATACTGCTTATAATGCCTGTATTTATTGTTCTTTGGAAATGAATAGAGTTATTAAAAGATTCTCACTCCAGACATGTCGTTCTTGCTTCTGTTGTACTTTATCAAAGCAAATTGGAAGAATTTTTGTTACAAAATAGTAACTCACAAATAAACATCTTAAAATGATCTGTCATCCACTTGCCTGTCATCTGTAGCATATTTCTGTCTGTCTATCTGTCAGTCATTCATCTGTCATCTAAGATCTGTGTTCAGCTTTCTTATCTATCATTTATCTGTACATACATGCTTAGAGTTAGCAGTATTTAGAGGCTCTTGAAATGTTAAATTAATTTTTAATATACTGTGGTATTTCCTTTTGGAATTGGATAAAAAGTTTTAGCTTTAGATTAATTTCGTTGATATCCTGTATATCCTTAAAAAGAGATTTTTAAAATTCATTTATTTGAAAGGCAGATTAACAATGAGAGATCTTCCCTCCACTGATTTATTCCCCAAATGGCCACCCTTGTCCAACCTGCCTGACTCCCCGGGATCACATTCTCACCAGTGGGAGCTATGATCCATTAGAGGAATTTCCTAAGTTCCTCCAGTTGGCACACTCCCAGACTCAGATCTCACACATGCCAGGGGGTGCTAGACCCTTGCCTTGAATAGTCTGCTCCTCCATCTTGGCCTAGAATGAGCTGGTGAATGTTGTGTCCTGGCCTGCCTCACACCCTGTTTAAGGATACACTTGTGAGTGCCACAGCCTCGACCTGCCCAAACTATTCTCCATCTCTGTACTCGTGAGTGTTAGCAGATTCCAAGGTCACACCTAGCTCGGCCCATCACCACATCAATTCTTAAGCTAACCCGTAGGACTTGAATTTTCACAGGATTTGGCCCACATATCCCCCACAGAATCTACCCTGGACTTGGTTCTCTTATGTGCTTGTTAAGCGTCATGACCCTGCCTAATGTGTCCTGTTCCCTTTTCCGACATTCAGTCAGCTACTGTGATTTAGCCCTGCTAGAAGGCCCCAAGCCCTAGCCTGCAAAGTGATGTTTGGCTAGGTGTGAAAGAGCCAAAGTATTGTGTTGAGATAACAACGTTTCCTTAACCTCGATGAAGCCCACTCAGCCTTGTGTCCATGTTTATTTTGCCTTTAGATATTTGTACCTCTTTTCACTCTGTTGCAAAATATCCAATCCTGTGTTCATGCTGAGCAGAGAATGCCTGATTCCTTTGCAACTTCAGGCTGGTTTCTGAAATTTATAAGCAAATATTATTTGTTGAATTTAACAGAAGACAGTAGTTAGTCACAAACTCAGTAGTTAGTGTTGTTAATAAGGAATAGGAAAGATGTTCTTGGTATAGTTACAGTTGTCATGGAAATTGTTAGTGCTTTAGTTTCCAAGAAATACTTTTGTACATGAGAAGCAATACTTCTATGTCATCATGCTGTAATTATCATCTTGTATTGTATCATGAAGCATCTCCATGTACCGTTTCTCCCATGAACATTTTTTAGAATATTTTTTTAAAAAGATTTAGTTTTATTGGATAGGCAAATTTACAGAAAGAAGGAAAGATAAATGGTTTATCTCCCAATTGGTCGCACTGGTCAGAGCTGAGCTGATCCAAAGCCAGGAGCCTGGAGCTTTTTCCTGTTCTCCTACACTGGTACAGAATCCTAAGGCTTTGGGTCATCCTTAACAGCTTTCCCAGGCCACAAGCAGGGAGCTGAATGGGAAATGGAGCAGCCAGGCTCCATTCCTAGCCTAAGGGCTGATTGGGCACATTCTTTTGCTGTGGTCAACCTTTTTGTTTTTTCCATTAAAGCTTTTTAAGTCCATGTTGTTCAGCTGGGCTAGTTAATCTAGTTAATTACCCAAATTTCTCCCTCCCCCCACCCCCACTTTTTTTGGCAACCCAACCTGGGCAATGTATATAACCTGAATCCAGGTTGCCTCATCGATTAGAAGCAATTCTCTGCTTCTTAAAAATCCTTGTGTTTCATGGGCCATCAGTTTGTTCTCATCTTACAAAATCAAATAGATTTAGGGTAGAATGTAGGTGTTTAATATTTTGAGGGTATAATAATCATACAGAGTTTAACAGGAGATCCAACTAAACAAGTTTTTAAAGTGTCACCATAAATTATTTTTCATCAAATTATCCTGAGCACGTGCACAGTAATTTACAAGAAGAAAACTTTATTTTTCTTTTTTGAGAAGCATGCATTCATTCAGAGGAAAGGTGGAATCAACTCATACGTTGTTGTCTTAGCAAACTCCTTTTGTGAGTTCTATTGACCCTGATACTTGTAAAAGATGCATCAAGTGACCTTCTTCTTTGGCAGGTGAAGTTCATGCCCACACAATGCACCTGCCAGCCACAAATGCCGCATGACTCCAGTTTTAAAAAAATCCATCCAGCCACAACAAAGTATTGGAATTAATTTGCATGTAACTAAAATCTAAATACTTTTGTAACCCATAGCTGTCAAATCTCAGGAAGTACACAGCTAAGTTTTGATGATCTGATTTATTTGAGCATTGTTTAAAAGGGTTTTTGTTCTTATTCTTTGTCTTTGATAATACAGGATATATTAGACTAAATTTTGATATCAGAGTTAGTAGGTGGCAAAGTTACTTTCCAAATCTGAACTTTGAGATGAAATCTCTTTTTAGCTTCAGAATTGTTTCCTTTTTGCTATACAAGATGTTCTGTTCTAGTTAAGAGACATGGCACCTTTAGCTTCCAGCAGGAAAGTCTGTTGGAGAAGAAGGACTCTAAACAAGTTCAAGCTCTTTTTGCATGGTGTACAAATCTGTCACCAAGCTCACATTTTTTTTACCATTAAAAAAAGAGTATAATTCCATGGGGGGAGGGTAGTGGGAGGGGTGGGGGGAATCCCAGTTCCTATAAAACTGTATCACATAATACAATGTTAACAACAATTTAAAAAAAAAGTAATAAAAAAATTTTTAAAAAGAGTATAATTATGTTTCACAGAAATAGAATGAAAGTGGAAAAAAAACACATGTATGACTGGAGAACTACTTGTCTAAGATGTTTTACCTTGCAGTAACTATATACCTTGTCATTTTTCCTTTTCAAAGAAAGAAAATTTGGGGCTGATATGGTGCACCAGATTAAGCCACCACCTGCGATGCTGGCATCCCATTCGGAGCACTAGTTTCAGCCCCAGCTTGCAATCCCAAACCTTGCTAATGCACCAGGGAGGGTAGCAGAACATGACCTGATTCCTTGGGTCTTTGCCAACCACATGAAAGACCCCGATAGAATTTCAAGTTCCTGGCTTCCACCAGGCCAGCTCCGCCATTGTGGCCATTTGGGGAGTGAACCAGCAGATGGAAGATGTCTGCTCTTCTCTTTTTCTCTCTAACTGCCTTTCAAAAATAAATAAATTTTTGGAAGAGAGAATTACTAATAAGGAAAAAATATGAAGGAACTTGGTTGAAGGAACCAATAGGCAAAGAGCATCAGATAACAATGCTTGTAACTTGTCAAAATGAGGTATTTAAAACAAAACTACAAAGGTTGCAAGGGAATTGAGTGGACTTGTTCTCTTGTGAGTTTCTTGTATTAGAAAATGTTGTAACCAATCAGATAGGCTGTGAGGAGCTAAGGATGTCTGTTAATTGTGTAGAGTAACCACTAGAACAATAAATAAAATGAGGTAGAGGGCAGGGAAAAAGGAACAGAAAATAGCAAGAAAGTAACTAACACCACCAAAAACTTGAGTAACAGAGATCTGGAATCCTACCCACATCCATCTCAAGTTTGTTCTATTGCTTTCAGTTCTCAGGATTTGAAGGGAAGACTCTTCTGGGTGCCACGTTGATGCACTCTCATCCCTGTTCCTTGGCAGGCTAATACAATGGAAACAGCAGAAATCATTTGTCCATTTGTCCTGTCCAGCAGGACAGTCAACGGGGGTCGCAACCACCTAGGAGAGAATGAAGGTGACAAGAGACACGAAGAATGGACAGCAAGACAGGATGTCTGATCAAGCTGTCGGTTTATTGATTTTAATCGAGGTTTTTTATGCTTTTCAGTAACTAAGGCTCAGGGAGGCAAGGAGAAACTAGGATGCAAGTCATGGTCTCCCAACCGATTGTTCTTGAGCAGCCACCATATCAACCATAGTAACCAACGTATCAACAATAACATAGGTAATCAGTAACAAGATGTCGGCAGGTATAGCATAAATCACATTCTAAAACAGTTGCTACAAACAATTGAAGCTAAGCGTGTGTTTAGTTTCATAACTTCTTTCCCAAGCATCTAGACAGCCGGGGGTTTTCCACTGGCCCATAGTTCTATATTCAAAATGGCTTCAGTGTGGCTTTAGTACAAGGCTCCTGACATCCATTGAATCCCCAGCTTTCAAAACGTTTCTGTTAGTATTGTTCATCTTTTTTTGTTCTCTGTGCCCATATGTATTACAGCTTTTGTATTTTTGCATATTCTTGTTTTTAAATTAAATTGATGCTGTTTATTTGATGATGATGACAGGGTTGACCAGGAAGAGAAGGATCCCCGAGGATCAGGAAGAAGTGGGTGAAACAATTCTTTTTCTAATTCTCCATTTCTTCTTGTCTCTGGGAAAAGCAGAGAGTTAAAGGGGAAGCCATATTCAGCCCTCCAAATGTCCCAGTACCCAGGGATGAGGAAATGCCACTCAATATCAACCCAGGGTCCCACTACAGTGCATGTTCTGAGGGTTCTGATCAAGTGGTTTGGATAGTTCTGAAACGCTGTCGATTTCACTGATCCAAGATAAAGCAATCTTCCCAATGTCTATTGGCTGCCATAGTTGACCTCAAGTCTCCATTCACCCAGATTTTTGCTGTTGCTGTTTGCTGGGGAAGTTGTTCAATTTGCTCTGTTCTCCTTCCTCTGTGATGGTATCAAATGGGCTGCCATATTCTCCATGTTCATCAGGGTCTGTGTCTACTGCTATGCCTTTTTCACTCATGGGCAGGACCAAGGACCAGGGCCAGGTGATGTGAGCCTAGCCGGATCCCCTGCTCCCAGGGTTCACAAACTGGCACCCA